CTAGCCACTTGTAGACTTAAACCGTATATTTAAGCAAATTGTATATTTCTGCTACTGTTATCTGTATTGTGCAATGTACGCGGCATTCGTGTGTTACAGCACACGAATACCACTAATGTTAAGTCTGGTTATCCATGAACAGTGAATCACCACACTGTTCGTGGAATAAGCAAAGTACCGAATGGGAGACCACCCATAGCAGGTTGTGTGTCTCCAATTAGGTACTTTGCAACATTGTATCGGTGTTAATTGTGGTCTGTTGCGGGTGGCTGCCATTCGTGTACCGAACACGAGGCGGCGGCCATCTTTGTTAGCGGAAAACCAGCAAGGTTTTGTCATCGAGTGCCTGGAACTAAAATCGGCTGAGAGCCTGGATAAATATAGCTCGCTGTTCGGTTCTTCTGGTCGGTAGTTAGAGTCCAAAGAAACGAAATCCTCTAGTACAGCTTTCCCCAAGTAGTAATCAGGTACCCTAACACCAGCCGAAACATGATGAAGGGTGTAACAAGACTGACGTTTATTGAGACCACGCAGGCTTTTATGGAGGTCCCCTTGTAGGAGGACCTCCCACAGTACACAAACTAAATAGCCAATCATAAGGTACAGTTACCCTTAAACACTCCAGTCTCCGCCTGTGAGATAATGAGATAAGTTAAGGAATAATCCAATTATCTCCAGGCGAAGTGCACACATTTTCCCCAAAACTCAGACCACCCCTTTAAGCTTAAGGTATCCCCACAAATGTCACATCCCCTGATAGCCCCGATCTGGGGGAACAACATATTCAAATTTCACCCAGATCGGTTCAGGGGTTTTTAAAAAGTGTGGAAGTCTTAAGTTTCCGACCGCACACAAAGCTCTTGGCCAAAATAGTTCCACGAATTCAGCGTGTGCGGTCGGTCAATTCTGAAAATGTTAAATAACTCCATAATCCACGAACGGAGGCTCCTGGCTCATAGGAGCGATTGTGCCCCTCACGCGAATACATCAAAGTACCGAAAAGCGCTCTCCTAGCTGTTCGGGAAATACAGTTCCATCGTTCGTATGTTTGAGACCGGTGTTCGGGAAGTCGAGTGTCCGATTTTAGTTCCAGACACTCGACGACCAAGTCCCGCTGCCTTTGTCCCGAACAAACAAGATGACCGCCGTGTTCTCCGCCACGTGGCATTCGCATATACGAACGGCGGCCACCCTGGGAGAGCGCTTAATTGACAGGCTCCTTTGAAGTCAATGAGCCAGGAGGGTGGTCTGTGTTCGGTAGTTTCAATCTACCGAACCAATGTGGCATAAACTCGCCAAATAAACTAAACAGATGAATGCTCAGAGAAAACCCCGAACTCCCAATGGGTTTTCTCCCAGTCCCCTACTGGACAAACCCTGCATTGCGACTCGGGAAACCCCATACAATTGTAACCACATAAATACTGTGCCTGTAATTAAAAACCTCAGTTGACCTCCAAGCTATGTGTTGTCTAGTTCTTGGGAGAAAGGGATTGTAACTACGCTACCTGGATTTTGCCTGCTTTGTACCTTTATTCTATCTACCCGCGGAGATACCTTGGATAATACTACTACTCCGCTACACTCATCCTCCCTAGACAGAGACTTTTCAGTTTGTAAAGAGAATGGCTATATATAGAAAATGCACAATATATAAAAAAGCCACATGAAATTTATTAGCATAGAAAAATAAAAACACTCAAAGTGATAAGCTCAAAGACCCTTCTCATGAAGTTCACTAACAATGTACAATAGAAGAATGAGCTCCTTACCAAAAGAAATCATGGTGAGTATCTGCAACTTAATGCTGCTACTCACATGGGCTCTCGTTCACCGTGGACCAAATAACTTTCCCAGTCTGGAATCCGAACTTGTAACACCTCCAGAAGAACCAATCAGCAGTGGCCAAGGCCAGTAAGGTATTGTCATGCATGAAAAAGGGCATTCATTCTCGGGACGAGAATATCATTTTGCCTCTTTATAAATCACTGGTAAGACCACATATTGAATATGCTGTGCAATTTTGGGCACCTGTTCTAAAGAAAGATATTATGGCACTAGAAAAAGTGCATAGGCGGGCTACAAAATTAATAAAAGGAATGGAACATATCAGCTATGAAGAAAGGTTAACAAATTTAAACCTATTTAGTTTAGAAAAACGTCGCCTGAGAGGGGATATGATAACATTATATAAATATATTCGGGGCCAATACAAACCATTGTGTGGAAATCTATTCACAAACCGGACTTTACATAGGACACGAGGCATGCGTTTAGACTGGAAGAAAGAAGATTTCGTCTAAGGCAAAGGAAAGATTTTTTTACTGTAAGAACAATAAGGATGTGGAATTCTCTGCCTGAAGAAGTGGTTTTATCAGAGTCCATACAGATGTTCAAACAGCTACTAGATGCATACTTGCAAAAACAGAATATTCAAGGATATAATCTTTCAATGTAGGGTAATAACCGCTTGATCCAAGGATAAATCTGACTGCCATTCTGGGGTCAAGAAGGAATTTTTTTCCTAGCTTGTTGCAAAATTGTGCTTCAAACTAGGTTTTTTGCCTACTTTTGGATCAACAGCAAAAAACAAATGTGAGGAAGGCTGAACTTGATGGACGCAAGTCTCTTTTCAGCTATGTAACTATGTAACCATGTAACCAAAGTTGTGTGCCCAACAGTGCACCGGTACAATCCTGGAATCACAGGTCTGTTGGAGCACTTCAGAAATAACTTCAATTTAGGAGGGCACGTTGAAATACTGAATCTTGGGGCCGTCAACATGTCCCTGCCCACCGTATGGCATCACCATGTCTACGCGTTTCGCTGCAGGCTTTCTCAGGACGTCAGTGTGATATTGGTGTCCCCCAGGGTTGAGTACTTGGTCCTCTACTGTTCTCCATCTATACTGCCTCCCTTGTTAAACTCATTCACTCCTTTGGCTTCCAATATCATTTCTATGCGGCTGACACGCAAATCTATCTGTCCTCTCGTGATCTCTCCCCGTCCCTCTTGACTAATGTCTCTGACTGCCTCTCTGCTATTTCTAACTGGATGGCTTCCCACTTCCTTTAACTCAACTTGATCAAAATTGAAATTCTGGTCTTTACTCCCTCAAGTGTTGCTACTCCTGTGTCTCCCTCCCTCCAAGTTAACGGTGCTACCATCAGCACCACCACGAAGGCTCGCTGCCTAGGTGTTCTCTTTGACTCCGACCTCTCCTTCACGCCTCATTTTCACTCTATCGCCAAATCCTGCCGCTTCCATCTCAAAATCATTGCGCACATCCGACCCTACTTAATGCCAGATGCGACTAAGGTGCTGGTCCATTCCACTGTCCTTTCTCGCCTTGACTACTGTAATCCGCTTCTCAGTGGTCTTACGTGCTCCCAACTTGCGCCATTACAGTCCATAATGAATGCGGCTGCAAGGCTCTTCTTCCTGTCCGCCCGCACCTCCCACGCCTCACCCTTCTGTCAGTCCCTACATTGGCTTCTTGTAAGATATAGTGTTCAATTTAACATTCTGGTTCTTGCTTTCAAATCGCTACATAATGCTGCTCCCACCTATCTATCCTCCCTTATACACAAGTATGTCCCGTCTAGGCCCTTACAATCTGCTGAAGACTTACGTCTATCTTCTGTCCGTACTCCCACCTCTGATGCTCGCCTTCAAGACTTCTTGAGGGCTGCACCGTTCCTGTGGAACTCGCTTCCCTCCTCTGTTAGATGCTCACCCAGTTTCCACTCCTTCAAAAAAAATTATTAAAAACCCACTTCTTCATAAAAGCGTATGAATTAAACTGTTAATAGCTCCCGACTGATTCCTCTTTTGCAACGGTCACTAGTCTAATACTATCCTTACCTTTTTGTGTAATTTTACCCCACTCCCTCTAGCATGTAAGCTCATTGAGCAGGGCCCTCAACCCCTCTGTTCCTGTGTGTCCAACTTGTCTGGTTACAACTACATGTTTGTTCGTCCACCCACTGTAAAGCGCTGTGGAATTTGTTGGCGCTATATAAATAACATAAAAAACATATTCCCGCCATCTCTATTCCTGTTATATGAGGGCAAATGCACTGACCTCAAAAAGTTCTTATTGGTTAAACCTCCAAAACCTTTTTTGCATAATGCAGTCTACATGGACAGGTGAGCAAATACTCACATTGGCGGTGTTGCAGGTTATACACTCCTTGATACTATAGACTTCATTGTTTATTCTGAATTAGTCTAAAACATCCTCTCTGCGTTTTAGTAGTCTCACAGGCTTTACAACTTCCACAACCACAAAATACTTTTGTTATTGTCTCTTCATTAGCTTCATTGTTCCTACCTAAATAATGGGTAAGTACTCTTTTCAGGCTTGGTAGTCCCCTATGTATAATAACTGGGTTTTTAGGTAAAAACTTATTTAAACTGGGATCCTTCAACAATGCGTGCCAATTCCCTGTAATAATATTTCTTACTCTCCTTGTTTGACTGCCAGAAAATTGGCAGATATTATTATTATGTTATTTATAGATAAAAGGGACTGTGTCATTATTTATGCCTATATCCATCAGTATGATGCCCTTGCAGTGCAGCTCCTTTAGGTCAGAAAGCAATTAAGTCCCAAATATGTGCGCGATGAGGGTGCTGAGAGTTGAGAAACTTGAGTAATATAGGTGACGTCTCTACTTAATGACGCATGTTTATGCTTCTTATTGACAATCTTGTGAATTATATTTTTCTCCTTCACATTTAAGTGAACCCCTGATTCAGAAACATTTTGAGCATATTGCTTGAAAACTAACCTCAGATTGAATTGTTGATTGTGTATAATTCGGACCTGAGTTGCAAACTTGTACCTACCTCGTTAACAGCATAAGAAGTTTGTACGTGGAGTGTCTGCATACTAATGGGACTATTTACAGCATCCCCTGTAGTAGTATTTGGGGCAGGATACCTATTAAACATGAGTGTCCCGGGGGGCGGAGCTAACTCACGATCGGAGCGGTCGCATGTCCGCGGAGCTCCGTCGGAAAAGCTTATCAAAACCTGAAAAAGGTACCTTTCTGGAGCCCAAGTTGCCCTGGACATAGCTAACTGTGTCGGTAAGCAGATGGGGCGGAAGAATAAAAAACCGAGGCCGGACCGGCCCGGGAACATGGCCGATATCAGTGAACTCTTTGTGCAAGCGGGCTGGAAATGGCGGACGTACTGGACGATTTCTCCGACGTCTCAGAAGAGTACACCCCGCACAACCCAGCAGCCCCTGGCTTCCAGGGCCCCCCCAGGCCATCTCCGGAGGTGGACAGCAGCTCAATCCCACTAACCACAGCCATCCTTACTAAACTTTTGGCTGACCTCCGACAAAGTCTCTCTGCAGATATCTCCCAAGTACGGGAGGATGTCAGGGGATTCACAGCCCGTTTAATCACGGTGGAACAAGCAGTGGAGGAGCACACTCCTCAAATAGCAGACCTGCAGAAGCAGGTGAGGGACCTCACCAAGGCGCAGGCTAACTTTGACAGCCAGCTAGCAATTCTAGAAGATAAGAGGAGGTGGAAACACCTGAAAATTAGAGGCCTATCGGACTCCATCACTATGGCAGAGATGCCACACTTCCTACGTAGGCTGTTCATGGCATTACTACCCCCTAAAACAGCAAAGGGCATTCAGCTGGATGGAATGTTTCGTCTACCCAAGCCTCAGTCCAACACAGCCCCAACCACCGGCGACCTCCTGGTTAAGTTTCAAAACGGGCAAGACAAAGCAGCCATCTTACAAGCTACCAGAGGGAAGACCCCATATCACTTTGAAGAAATGGACCTCACGTTCTTTGCTGACCTCTCCCGCTCGACGTTGCAGTGGAGGAGGTCGCTGAGACCACTGGCATCCACGCTTACATCCCTAGGCATAAAGTATCAATGGGGCACACCTCGTGCGCTGACATTCCAACATAATGGTGTGGAACACAGAGTCACGGAGGCATCTGAAATGGACGCTATCCTGTCCTCCCTGAAACCGAGCCCTGACCCTCGACCCACTAACCCCACCTGGAACCCCGCTACCGTGGTTCCGTTCACTCCTGCATCTCGAGGAACAAAGGGCGCACCTGCCACCTGAAAACGGAATCATCTGTGTTGGGACTTGTACCCTCTCTTTTTCTAATAAGTTACCGGCATTTATGTCTTAGTTATGGTTAAAACGTTGTGCTACACTTAGGAATCACTCCCCTCCCCATACTGCATACGGCTGAACGACCGTACTGGTCGACACTGGGCGAAATGAGACCCAACTATCTCCCCTAATTACGTCCATCCTACCCTCCCCCCCCAGCTCCAATCTTCTTGACCCACACATAAACAGTTGGCGGAGCTGCCTCACTAAAAAGCTTGAGACACCATACCAAGTTACTTGATCCTTAAGGATCCTCTGTTATGAAACTACCCTACACCACAGTTGTCCTACTCACAGGCCCCCACTCTGTACTACTCTCGGGCCTACTACTTAGCCCAAACAGGGCTCCACACCCCGGCAGGAAGCAGGACCATTAAAATTAAAATGATCTCTCACTTGTTTGCCCAACGTGTAACTCCAAATCTATTATTGCCACTGATCGATCCGCTTCTTGCATAGCATGTAACTTGACCTCTATTGTATTACCTCGTATAGTCAGTTAGGGTAACCAAACTCTTATTTTATGTCAATTTGTCTCTCTGCTGACTACTTCCTTTTTCTTTTTTCTTTTCTTCTTTTTTTTTTATTTTCTTCTTTTTTATTTCTACAATTGAAATTGCGTAGTTTAGCTACCAAACCATTATTATAAATACCGTGCTGTTTACTCGAGTAGAAACGTACCGCTATTGCTCACTACAGCTCTTGTCATGTTTCACTATTCCATTGTGTTTTTGACGTATGCCGGCAATTGCTGTTGTGGCATTGCGGGTTACCTTGTATACTTCTGCACGACCAAAAATAAAGAATTAAAAAAAATAAAAAATAAAAAAAACATGAGTGTCCCTGCCACATATCTGTATAGTAACCCTTTAAAACTGTCGGCCAAGCCATTGCGTTATGTGGGCGAAGTGAAGTCATCACGTGACATGACGTGTCACTTACAAAATCGTTGATGTCCGTGACCCTCACGTTTGATGTCATCACGCTGAATGATGCGTCATATTAGGCTGTTTGAAGGTTAAATATGGCGGCAGCACCGCAGCCATTAACACATGTTTGGTGGCCATACCGCCCAAAACCCCCGTGATGTGCAGCCGCCCGAACAGAGTGCCTGCGTTCCAAACCCTCCGAAAACCTGCAGCCCACGGAGGAACCCACCAGAGAAAAAGGATAGAGAGGATAAGAGGGGACGGAGAGGTACAGAGGGAGGTCCAGAAGAGGATGAATGAGAGTGATGGTCGGACAGGAGGGAATAGAGGAACACACAAAATTGTCCAGGCACTCAAGGTGTTCAAAACGAAGGCAGTTTTAAAAGAACAAAAGGAGCAGCGACGTTTCGACCTGCTGTGAGGTCTTTGTCAAGCAGGTACAAAAAAGAAACAGACAAATGATCAAAACACAACCTTTATCTAACCTTTGTTCCTCCTACTAGCTTTCTGTCCCAACCAGTCCTATCTGACTGAGCAGAAAGCACAGCAGGAAGAGAAACCACTCCAAGCAAGCTGTGAGAAGTGAGGGGTGTTAACTCTTAATGTGTTCTGTCCCTATTTGGTGCTACACTTTTCTAATAGATTCACACCATGGAACCAGCTATTCAGCTGAAACCAGGTAAGTCTTTCTATGGGGGGAGCTGCTGACATTCAGGTAATTCTTTCTATGGGGAGGGGGGGGGGCTGCTGACATTCAGGTAAGTCTTTCTATGGGGGGCTGCTGATCTTATAAGTCTTTAAAGATAATCCAAGATAATTAGCAGACTCACTCCACTGCCTGGTTATAACTGCATTAATAGCTCTGTGGCTGTATTTATGGATGAGAGTAGTGCGAGTAGTAGCTCAGTGTTTGGAGGCTTAGAACAATGTTACCAGAATGTATAACCTCCTGATCATGTAAATGCAGGTAGACGGACAGTGGTATTTGTAAACTTTTCATAGTCTGTAGGAGGGAGTCAGTTAATCAGTCAGTTCCTTAGGGACCCCTTGTTGGATTCAATGGTCAGCATCTTGGAAAAGTCATGTGAAAGACTTGCAGGATCTGGGAATCACAAGGCTGGGCTGTCGCTTCCTTTAAGACCCCTTCTCTGTGTGCAGCCCCCCATCACTTCAGTAGCAGTGAACCCCATCATTACATATTCCCATTTATTCCTCATCCGATCTATCACCACCTTTCCCTGGATTCTTGTTTCTCCCTCAGCCTAGACTTTCAGTATCCACCTTCCTCTTCATATTGGCTCCTTTTTTAGTTTGTGCATAGAAATAAAATAACTTGTAGCTGACACCTTGTACTGTGATACGTGCAGATCTATACATACCTTATTGGAGAATGCAGCTCCTCCACTTTATACTGTAATATTACATAAACCCTGAAGGCAAGTACGGCAGAGCATTCTATTCCTGTAAATGATACAAAGACGGTTTTTCATTAAAGCCTGAAATTCAAAATGAACTTGCAATTTAAAATACGGCAAAATTCTGGGAAAAAATCTCCGAGCTGTGACTATAGCGGAGCTGGGGATTGTTTTCAAAGCATTTACTGTTTTTTTCTTTTCAAATTTTATCTAATTCAGTTATTATAGTCCAAATTTTGACATTTAGATTCATATTCACTACACTGTGGTGTTTATTGAATAAGCCCCTTGGTGAGTAACCTTGAGCTGTCTGATAGGAAACAAGCTAACCAGTAATTCCAAACGAATTCTCAAACCCGATTCACTTCCCCACTGTGGTTTAGGTGCTGCTGTTCCCTTTTATATCATAAAGTCACAAATAGGTGTTTAACATAACACAGAACACAGAGGTATATCCTTTAACTCTGACTTTTTGGGACCAATCGAACTAAGTCTTCTTACTAACACAAATACATTCCCAATTCCCATCATCCAGAAGTAGAGAACTTGGCTGTAATATTATTTTATATCAATTTATTCTATTCTCTTTTTGATTCCATTTAAGGGTGCAGCAAATCGGACATTCGTAAGGAGGTTTGGGATTATATTGAGAAGAATGATTTGGCAGACTTTCCAAGACCCGTTCATAACCGGATAATCTACTTCAAGGTATAGTAAGATAATTATATACATCGGTGTATTGTATGTGAATCAGATGACTTGCTAACGGTATCTGAAATGTGGCCTACAGGTGGAGAAGGGAATTTACCTGTTCAATTTCACACAGACTATTAGAATACAAACTTCGATTGAGGTAGTGATTATATATGATGGAAATAATACAGTATGCACAATAATAAGGAGTTTAGGCGCTCACTATGAATGTAACCGGTGGAAGCAGTAAACCAACCAAGGATTCCCAAAAACCTTAAGATATAGAATGTATGCAAAAACAGAATATAATAAGAGACACCAAAGATTAAGGATATAACCAGTGTTGAAAACAACCTTGTAGTGTGATATATACAAAGAACTGTGTACATATGCACTTGTGCTCCAAAGTTTGCATACCCTTGGAGAATTGGTAATATATGTACCATTTTTTAAAGAAAATATGAGTGAGCAGGAAAAACACATTTCTTTTATTTCTTTTGATATTTATATTTAACTGTAGGTTATAACAGAATGGTGCAATCATAAAACAAAACATGGCAACAAAAATAAATAAATGAAATGACCCCTGTTCAAAAGTCTGCATACCCTTAGTTCTTAAAACTGTGTATTGCCCCGTTTAGCATCAAAGACAGCATGAAGTCTTTTGTAATCGTTGGCTATGAGGCCCCTAATTCTTGCAGGTGGTATAGCTGCCCATTCGTCTTGGCAAAATGCCTCCAGGTCATGCAAAGTCTTTGGTCGTCTTACATGAACCTCATGTTTGAGATCTCCCCAGAGTGGCTCGATGATACTAAAGTCAGTAGACTGTGATGGCCACTCCAGAACCTTCACCTTTTTCTGCTGTAACCACTGGAGGGTCAACTTGACCTTGTGCTTAGGGTCATTGCTGGAAAGTCCAAGAGCGTCCCATGCGCAGCCTTCGTGCAGAAGAATGTAAATTGTCTGCCAGTATTTTCTGATAACATGCTGCATTCATCTTACCATCAATTTTCACAAGACTCCCCGTGCCTTTAGAGCTTACCCCCTGCACCCCAATATAGACCATAAAGCTCTATATTGGTCTTGTCACTCCAAGTTACAGTGTGCCAGAGGCTGTGAGGCATGTCAAAGTGTTGTCGGGAATATTGTAACCAGGCTTTTTTGTGGCATGGCGCAGCAAAGGCTTCTTTCTTGCAACTCGACCATGCAGCTCATTTTTTTTTAAAGTATCGTTGTATTGTGCTCCTTGAAACAACCACACCGTCTTTTTCCAGAGCAGCTAGTGTTTCTCCTGAGGTTACCTGTGGGTTTTTCTTTGCATCCTGAACAATTCTTCTGGCAGAAATATTTCTTGGTCTATCTGACCTTCGCTTGGTATAACGAGATCCCTGAATTTTCCACTTCTTAATAAGTGATTGAACAATACTGACAGGCATTTTCAAAGCTTTGGATATCTTTTTATATCCTTTTCCATCTTTATAACGTTCCATTACCTTGTTACGCAGGTCTTTTGACAGTTCTTTTATGCTCCTCATGGCTCAGTATCTAGCCTGCTCAGTGCAGCCACCTGAGAGCTAACAAACTATTTGAGTAGTTATACACATACATTAATTGCTATTTAAAATGAACCTTTAATTGCCCATTTTAACCCAAATAAGGCCAAATATTCAAGGGTATGTAAACTTTTGATCAGGGCCATTTGGTTGAATTCAGTTATCATTTTAAAAGGAGCCAAACAACTATGTAATAATAAATGGCCTCATATGATCACTATTCTGCAATAAAATATTTTTTTTTAGGATGATCAGTCATATTTTCTTAATCGTTGCCACAATTTCACAATTTCTGCAATGGTACACAAACTTTTGAGCACAACTGTCAGTACCTCAGAAGAGAAAACAAGCAAATAATAGTGCAATATTTATTAACAATTAAATTGAAATCAAATTTTATAGAGAACTTACACTCTGTAGAGCTACTCAGAGCTCTGCTGTGTTGCGCATGGGTGTGCAATCCCTGGTTTAGGATATTTGTAGATCCAATAATGTGTACAATGGCTATGTCCAATAGTATTCTGATAAATGGAAACAAGAAAAGAGAAAAATCCAACAGTGTAGACCAAGCATGTCAAACTCGTGGCCCACAATGGACATCTTTGCTCCCCGGCAAGCTGCTAGTACTTGCTTAGTGTTATAGCAGAGTAGGCACCTGCTTTCTCCACATTGCACGTGCCTATTCTGCTAAACCTTACCCGGCCGGGGAGGATGGCCAGCGAGGGAGCTCGGTGTTCCTGCTCCTCATTGCTAATTGCATGCGCCGTCTGTAGTGAAGCCGGGCGCCGGAGTAGGACGTTATATTCCGGCACCCAGCATCACTAAACCGCGCGAGGGAGCAGTGAGGAGCAGATAGAAGACACTGGACCCCAGAGAGAGGCCCCACATTGGCTCCCAAAGGTAGGGAGCATTAAAGAAAATTATGTGTGTGTGTGTGTGTCAGTGAGTGTGTGTATCAGTGAGTGTGTGTGTGTGTCTGTCAGTGAGTGTCTGTGTGTCTGTCAGTGAGTGTCAGTGAGTGTCTGTGTGTGTGTCTGTCAGTGAGTGTGTGTGTGTGAGGTGACATCGACGTGCTCCATCTTCACAGGGTTTCACAAAGTAGCGGAGGATCAGACTTGGCACAGGGTGCGGACGGCGCCATTTGGGGTATACCAGAGGCCGGACTACGGAGTCACATACTGGCAGCGGCAATGTGAGTGGAGTCTGCTTGTTGAGTAGAGGGGGGTACTGGGATTTAGTATATGGGGAGGACTGGGATTTATTAGAGGGGGGTACTGGGATTTAGTATATGGGGGGGACTGGGATTTAGTAGAGGGGGTGCTGTGGTTTAGTAGAGGGGTTTGCTGTTTTTTTTTTTATACTGTACTTTTCAAAATAAACCTACGTTTCTATGAAAATGTAAGTTTTTGGGGGGGTTTTTTGCGGCCCACATAAACTTAAACCTTGTTTATTTGGCCCGTGCCAGACTTTGAGTTTGACATGCTTGGTGTAGACTGTAAAGGTAAGTATATATTATTAATAAGTTACCCAACTTATAATTTGTAGAGCAGGAACCTGCTCTAGTAGTAAAAACCTTGGTGGTATAATCCCCTCCTGGGATATACAGGAACCAGGAAGTCAGCCAGCACAAAGATAATAAAGGTATATAGGAGTGGACTATACCAGTAAATTAACTTAATTTATATAGCAGTAAAGCAATAAACACAATAAACAGTAAGTAAATAATATAAATAATAGGCTCCAATACCACACTTGGCACACTTCTCTCAACAGGACTTCTCTTCTTATATATTCCAATTGGGGATTGTACCACCAAGACTAAAAAAATTATATATACATTATTTATTTTTTAATAAAAAACCATCCAAGCACCTGTAGTGGTTTTGGTGTAAGGAGTGCCCGCTTATTGTAAACAGTTTTAGAATGGTTCGACGTATTACTTGGGGTCCGCTGGGCTTCACTTCCTGGTTCCTCTTAGGCTTTAAAAAGCCAATAGCTTCTGCTTAGCTGGTCTCTTTAGCTAAGCCCTGCCCTGCCGGCTATAGAGGAGGCTGTAGTGGAGGTTGGGATCTGTGCCCGGTGGACCCCGTGTAAGAAGTCAAAAAGTTCTAAAACAGTTTGACTTCTTACATATTGTTTGGACACTGAGGCCCTCTTGGTACCATAACCACTACATCATACTGTAGTGGGTATGGTGCTTGGATAATTCTTTTAGTGTATCGTAAAGCTAATATATAGAAAAATAATTATAGTGGATTGATCTACTCCAGCAGACCTCTATTAGTTTGCCAACATTTCTTTCCTAACACAGGGGGCATCCCATGCTTGTGAAAAGCTGCTGAGCTTGCCAGAATTCCACGATGCCAGGACGGTTAAGATTGACCCTGATAGCCCTCATAATAATGCCCGCTTCCTCACCCTGGATGTAAGTAATTCGCGTTTACACTAATCTGTCTTCTCGTATCCCAGAAGGTCAGGGAAAACACAGCCTTTTGAAATGGGTTTGGCATTGCTCCAAGTAAAATAAGGCATTATCTTGATAAAGGTCCAGGACGTTGGAAACATAGAAACATAGAATGTGACGGCAGATAAGAACCATTCGGCCCATCTAGTCTGCCCAATTTTCTAAATACTTTCATTAGTCCCTAGCCCTATCTTATAGTTAGGATAGCCTTATGCCTATCCCACGCATGCTTAAACTCCTTTACTGTGTTAACCTCTACCACTTCAGCTGGAAGGCTATTCCATGCATCCACTACCCTCTCAGTAAAGTAATACTTCCTGATATTATTTTTAAACCTTGTCCCTCTAATTTAAGACTATGTCCTCTTGTTGTGGTAGTTTTTCTTCTTTTAAATATAGTCTCCTCCTTTACTGTGTTGATTCCCTTTATATATTTAAATGTTTCTATCATATCCCCTGTCTCGTCTTTCCTCCAAGCTATACATGTTAAGATCCTTTAACCTTTCCTGGTAAGTTTTATCCCGCAATCCATGAACCAGTTTAGGAGCCCTTCTCTGAACCCTCTCTAAGGTATCAATATCCTTCTGAAGATACGGTCTCCAGTACTGTGTACAATACTCCAAGTGAGGTCTCACCAGTGTTCTGTACAATGGCATGAGCACTTCCCTCTTTCTACTGCTAATACCTCTCCCTATACAACCAAGCATTCTTCTAGCATTTCCTGCTGCTTTATTACATTGTCTGCCTACCTTTAAGTCATCAGAAATAATCACCCCTAAATCCCTTTCCTCATATGTTGAGGTTAGGACTCTATCAAATATTCTGTACTCTGCCCTTGGGTTTTTATGTCCAAGATGCATTATCTTGCACTTATCCACATTAAATGTCAGTTGCCACAATTCTGACAATTTTTCTAGTTTACCTAAATCATTTGCCATTTGGCTTATCCCTCCTGGAACATCAACCCTGTTACATATCTTAGTATCATCAGCAAAAAAGACATACCTTACCATCAAGACCTTCTGCAATATCACTAATAAAAATATTAAAGAGAATGGGTCCAAGTACAGATCCCCGAGGTACCCCACTGGTGACAAGTCCAAGCTTTGAATATATTCCATTAACTACAACCCTCTGTTGCCTGTCACTCAGCCACTGCCTTACCCATTCAACAATATTGGAATCCAAACTTAAAGATTGCAGTTTATTGATAAGCCTTCTATGTGCAACAGTGTCAAACAACGCACTTATGTGTTTTCTTTGCAATGTTCGCTTTAAATAGTAGCAAGCTGGTGCTAGCTCAGTGAGTTAACACCCTAACTTTAGAGACTTGTATGTATAACCTGAAATGTTTCAATCATAAAGAACCCATACAGCCTTTCATCTTTCTGAGATCTCTGAAATGAGTAGCGAGTATGTTGGGTTATAGTAATATGATATAACTTACCGTGAAGCATCGAAACAAAAACAAACAGGAGATCTGAGAACACCGAGAACGGATAGAAATGTAATCATATGCTCTTCGGTTCCCATTCCCCCAGTAACCAGACGAAACATATTTCAAGGGGTCAACTGATTTATTTCAGACCACACATGGCTTTTATGCACAGACCCCTACATGGGGTCTCCAACACAATAATACAGGGTTTTCATTCCCAGGATCCTTTGTGTCTGAGAGCTAATTGCACGAGAAAAACCTATAATTCAATTATCTCTCAGGTACGAAAAAATCTATACAAAATATACAGTACCCCAAAAGTAGCTCCATCATAACTAGGAACCCCACAAAAGTTATATCCCCAGATAGCTCTAATCTGAGTGTATAACATATCCAAATATCACTCAGATCGGTTTGGTGAAACTGAAATGCCACCAGGGTAAAATATTGACTGGTCGGACACGAGGCACTAGCCCAAAAACAGTTCTAGGGAAATAGGTGTCCAGGCCGGTCTCTGTTCGGGGGTTCCTGTGCGAATGCCATGCAAGGGATTCTCTTAATTTCAGGGTACGAATGCTCCCCCTGTTCAGTAGTTCCCATCTCCCAAACATCGTTCGCAAAGTTGGTCGGGATGTAGAACAGGCAGCGGTCTAACCTTTACCGGGGTTCGTGCGAGTGCCTAGCCGAAAAGTGTTCCAGGCACTCGACGACCAAGTGCCGCTGCCCATGTTCGGGAGACAAAATGGCTGCCACTCCTTTGTCAACCACGCGCATTTGGTTATACGAAATGGTGGCCATCCAGGGGAAGCATTCATGAATTACGTCCCTTGCGGTTTTGCACTTAAAGGACCACTCTAGGCACCCAGACCACTTCAGCTTAATGAAGTGGTCTGGGTGCCAGGTCCCTCTAGGATTAACCAATTTTTTTATAAACATAGCAGTTTCAGAGAAACTGCTATGTTTATAAATGGGTTAATCCATCCTCCAAATCCTCTAGTGGCTGTCTCATTGACAGCCGCTAGAGGCGCTTGCGTGATTCTCACTGTGAAAATCACAGTGAGAACACGCAAGCGTCCATAGGAAAGCATTATGAATGCTTTCCTATGAGACCGGCTGAATGCACGCGCAGCTCTTGCCGCGCGTGCGCATTCAGCCAAATGGGAGGAGAGGAGGAGGATCGGAGGAGGAGAGCTCCCCGCCCGGCGCTGGAAAAAAGGTAAGTTTAACCCCTTTTCTCTCCCCAGAGCCGGGCGGGGGTTGGGGCACCCTCAGGGCACTATAGTGCCAGGAAAACGAGTATGTTTTCCTGGCACTATAGTGGTCCTTTAAGTTGCTGATGTGAACATTCTAATGGTCCTTGTTCAGGGGACGAATGGAGGGTGTTCATATACCTTAACTCCCGATCGAAAAAAGTGATCCTAAAAGAAATTGTTGCAGGCAGAGGGCAAATGGGGCATAAAAACTAATAAGATATCGCACATTATCCATCATTGCAATGGGTAGCTTGTTCACCTCATCCATGCAAACGACTCTACCGAACAGTGCCCTTCCAGGTTGTGTAGAAACGAACGCAAGTGATTATGGAAGTCCAGCGGTGTTCGGGAGTTTCAGTGTCAGATTTTAGTTCCATGAACTCAACGACCAAACATCGCTGCCTGCATTCGCGGGAACAAGATGGCCGCCACCTCGTGGTCGTTAATACGATCTGTGGCCACCTAGACAAACAATTAGAACACTGAGGTGGAAATCGTTACAAGGAGTCAGTTTGACTTAACAAGTGCACGGGTGGTCTCTGGTTCGTGCGGTTGTTCGGTTCCCGAACGGCATAGGGAAATTACACAAACTAAACCTTTTAAACTGTTTTTTACATGTTTCCCTGCAGGGCCCATAGTCTATGGGCAGGAGGCTGGCAAGCAGGCTCCTCTAGGAGCCCATGGCTAGGTCACATTCGCCACATGATCATCTTGAGGTATAGCCAATATCCCTCTAGTCACCGTGAGCAAAGGGCCCCTGTCTGGATTACACTTTAAACAAGTTGCAAGAGAGTACAGAGAAGAATGAGAAAAACAGACATATAAACAGTACATCTGTAAAATAGCATAAAATTCTCAAACTTTATAAAAGTTAGGGAGAAACAATAAGTAGAGAGATGATGGGAGGTGAAAACCGCTGCGAATACGACTTCAGATCGCAAGGAGGAAACAATGTCTTTTTGTCCACAAAGTTTCTGTAATTTTTACTGCTCTGTTTCTGGATGAATACATGTGATTCCGTAGCTAGTTTTAGCAGAAGTTATGAAAAGAGTATAAATACAATACTGGCATCTCTGTCCTGGACCCTGATTTTTATTCAGTGTAAACCAGGATGCGTGGAGCCATGGCAGCTGTAAACCTTGACGGCATCATGTGTACCGATAGAAGAGCAAAATATTACGCAGGATTACTGGAAATGTCATATTTTATTTAACATCGTATCTATCCCATCCACAGGCTCATAAAATACTGCTTGTGCCCAAACCACGGCCTCGAAAAGGGCTGTTTTACAGGATCATCCCTCCGAATAGGGCTGGCAAAGAAATGCTGAAAATGTGCTCTACTCCACAGGTACAGCACATAATATGGTGTAAATACTGAAATCTGCTATCACTGGATGGTGTTAGAAAGATCGACAAAGACCCATGGCAGTCTAGGACTATATTTCTAAACACAAAAACCTTTTCAGTCTCTTGTTATTATTGATTCTAGTCGCTCCCTTATCCAAGGTACTTAAAGTGACCCAACAGACTTCAGGCGACCTTTGTTTAAATGCTTTATAGAGAATAGGCATTCGGTAGACAGATATAGCTTTTTGAGACATAACTTGTGGTGTTTGGTATGTCTCTTAACCCCTTAAAAGGAAACTATAGTGCTAGGAAGACAACTTTGTTTTCCTGGCATTATAGTGACCTATAGTCATTGTCCCCCCACACCATTGTGATAATTAGGCTAAAAACCCCTTTATCACTTACATGGGCACTGGTTCATGCACCGTCTCTGCTCCTCCTTTGCCAATGTCAGCCGGTAGGGGGACCTTATGCGGATGCGCAGGGTGCTCAGTGATCGCATTAGGACTTCCCCATAGGAAAGCTGGTAGACAGCCACCAGAGGTGGAGTTAACCCTGCAAGGTAATTATTTGAGTTTATCAAAAACTATAATTACAATTGCAGGGTTCGGGCCCGGGACACTGCACCCAGACCACTTCAATGAGCTGAAGTTGTCTGGGTGCCTATAGTGTCCCTTTAAGGATGAAAGCAATTGTGCACGTTCTGATCAAAACAAAATGTAAACAATATATATCTGTTCAACCATAATTTACTTCTTTCATGTTAAGTGTACCCGCACTTATAATATATCATTTTGTTCAGGAGAAACAGGGCTTTCGTTTCACATCAAATATTTATAACATTATATTATAATATTAAACATAGTTTAATATGAATAAAATCTAAACAAAAGTTTGAGAAATTAAGAGATTCTCTCATTTTTCATGTTCGGCATGTGTACTGCATGGCATAATTTACTAAACTGGATTCTCTCCAGTTACCTTACATAATCCAGGAGGCAGGTGTTCTCCCTAACAATTTCAGTGACCACTGTCTAGTGTATTGCAAACGCAAAATAGGCCATTATATCCCCTCCCAAGATTATAATCACCAGGTAGAGTGCAAATAAAAGGGACACACCTGCGCTGGCTTACAGCTGACCTCATTCAAATGTACCAGTTCAAGCATCCGACCCTACTCCTCTCAACAGATGCCAAGAAGGCTTTTGACTGGGTGGACTGGGGACTCATGTTTAAAACACTCCAGAGTATGGGCATTGGACCCAAATACATCTCATGGGTGGAGGCACTATACACCTGCCCAACAGCACGATTGCAGATCAACAGAGCTCTGTCGAACCCGTTCCAAATACACAAAGGGATGCGCCAAGGCTGCCCACTGTCGCCCCTGCTTTTTGCACTCACCTTGGAACCCTTCCTGAACAACATCAGATGCAATGAGAATATACGCGGATTGGAAGTGGGTCGGACACACCACAAAGTTCTAGCGTATGCAGACTACCTCCTCTTCGTAGTGAAGGACCCAACCACATTCCTGCAGACGATCACAATGGAATTTGAAACATATGGCCGCATATCCAATCTACAAATCAACTACTCCAAATTGGAAATCTTAGGCATTACCACCAGCCACAACCAACAGTGGATGCTCCAACAAAGCTTCCCCTTCCGCTGGTGCAAAACCCAGGTGCGATACCTATGAATCTGGCTCACACCAGACCCGGCGGACCTATACACTCACAACTTTGCACCCATTCTCAAAACGGCAGTAGAGGAACTACAAAACTGGAATTCATACTATATCTCCTGGCTGGGCCGAGTAAACGTGGTCAAGATGACCTTACTTCCCAAACTCCTCTTTATCTTCCAAATAATACCAGTCCTGGCCCCAAAAACCTTCTTTACCACCATACAGGCGGAAGTCCGCAAATTCATCTAGAAAGGCAGATCCCCCCGTATAGCTCTTTCCCAACTGACACTACCCAAACACAAGGGCGGACTAGCTCTACCAGATTTAAAAAAGTACTACCTAGCGGCTCCTAGCACCAGAGTCATCAGCTGGTCCACGCAGGGCCGCCATCAGGGGGTGACAACCATGATGGTTGTCACGGGCCCGGCGACCCTGCCTACAGGTAACGGAACCACCAAAAGCAATCTCCTTGATCTACGCCACACTGGTGACGGGCCGATACCTACTGGCCCTACCATGCATCAGACAGTGGGAATAAGACCTCGACGAAACATGCTCGGAGGCAGACTGGGACAAAATCATCACCCACGTCCAAAAACCCCAAAGTCGGCAAGACTACAAGAAAATGCATACAAAGTCCTCACCCGATGTTACATGAACCTGGCCACGCTCCACGCCAGAGACCATACCGCACCAGACACTTGCTGGCGATGCGGAGAGGAGAGGGTCACCTTCAAACACATCTAGTGGGATTGCACCCTTATTATTCCTTACTGGGAAACTATCGGCCAAGTGATACGCAAGGTGACCGACGAGACACTACCGCTGACACCGGCTCCATATCTCCTCCACCACACTAGTATGCCGATGCCTGCCTATAAAAGATCAGTGATTCCAAAACCATCATCCCTGTCTACTAGAGACAACCACGCACCCCCCCTTCTCAAGCGATGGGTGGAGGAGGTGGAGGATACAAGAAAATTCAAGACCTGAAAGCAAGCTCGGCGAAGGACAAAGAAAAATACACGAAGAGATGGTTCCACTGGCTGAGACATATCACAGTTTGCACAACTTTTGACAACTACTTAGATGGCCAGAGGGTAAATGAGAGAGCATGGAGTGCTGTTGTGGAGGAGGGTCCGGGGGGCGCAGCGTACTGGAGCGGTGACCGAAGGCGACCAGCTTCCCTATTCCCCCTCTCGCTCTCCCCCGCTTTCTCCCCTCCCTCCTACTGATTCCACGTCTCCGACCTTTCCACCCCAGACCCGACCTCCCCCTCCAAACCGCGGACCCGACCTGTCCACCCTATGCCTTCCCAGAGTACTAAAGATGAACCACAGGTGTCCATCAACCGCTTTCTCACAACCACCTCATCACGTAATACTCCCCCACCGCTCGAACCCATCACAAAACCAAAAGGGCATAACACTAACGCAGGCCACCATGCTGGTAACACAAACAATACCACCAACAACAGACAATCCTATCTACACTATAACCACGCTGCACACATGGGGTAAGGGGGGATGGGGTGAAAACGCACACTATCTCTAGGTGCACCGACTGCTAAAACCACTACTCACCCTAACTGCACCGCAGGTGGCTTCACCTCTGCAGGGGCAACCAATTTGACCAGATGATTACGATCACCACTACCTCACCACACCATCTACCTCTGCGCAGGCAAAGGTTACTGTATAGTTGATGACTTCACCATGCCACGCACACCCCGGGCAACTAAACTAAATGCCTAACCAGGCATCTAAGTGAAGCTCAAGAGTGAGGACCCTCCCTTTCGAACCAGGCTCTCTCGCTGATTCATTACCCATTGAAAAGCTGGCATACTATGCCCAGGTGTCAACACTCATTTCGGAGTATATAAGTCTATGATTCTAGACACAATCACCTACGTAACACCCTATTGCACATCCAGCCACCACCACATACATATCTGTTACTACGCTGTTACAAACTGTTCAATACTGCCTATGACGGAATTGTTCTGCACAATGTTATGTTAATCCACTTTGACCCAAATGCCTCTGCGCAGGTGACCATATGCCCTTCTTATCACCCTGCGATATGTTTTGCTTTTACCATGCTACCACAACAAAAAACACTTAACACAAATGCTAACATGCATATTATACAGGGAGTGCAGAATTATTAGGCAAGTTGTATTTTTGAGGATTAATTTTATTATTGAACAACAACCATGTTCTCAATGAACCCAAAAAACTCATTAATATCAAAGCTGAATATTTTTGGAAGTAGTTTTTAGTTTGTTTTTAGTTATAGCTATGTTAGGGGGATATCTGTGTGTGCAGGTGACTATTACTGTGCATAATTATTAGGCAACTTAACAAAAAACAAATATATAACCATTTCAATTATTTATTATTACCAGTGAAACCAATATAACATCTCAACATTCACAAATATACATTTCTGACATTCAAAAACAAAACAAAAACAAATCAGTGACCAATATAGCCACCTTTCTTTGCAAGGACACTCAAAAGCCTGCCATCCATGGATTCTGTCAGTGTTTTGATCTGTTCACCATCAACATTGCGTGCAGCAGCAACCACAGCCTCCCAGACACTGTTCAGAGAGGTGTACTGTTTTCCCTCCTTGTAAATCTCACATTTGATGATGGACCACAGGTTCTCAATGGGGTTCAGATCAGGTGAACAAGGAGGCCATGTCATTAGATTTTCTTCTTTTATACCCTTTCTTGCCAGCCACGCTGTGGAGTACTTGGACGCGTGTGATGGAGCATTGTCCTGCATGAAAATCATGTTTTTCCTTGAAGGATGCAGACTTCTTCCTGTACCACTGCTTGAAGAAGGTGTCTTCCAGGAACTGGCAGTAGGACTGGGAGTTGAGCTTGACTCCATCCTCAACCCGAAAAGGCCCCACAAGCTCATCTTTGATGATACCAGCCCAAACCAGTACTCCACCTCCACCTTGCTGGCGTCTGAGTCGGACTGGAGCTCTCTGCCCTTTACCAATCCAGCCACGGGCCCATCCATCTGGCCCATCAAGACTCACTCTCATTTCATCAGTCCATAAAACCTTAGAAAAATCAGTCTTGAGATATTTCTTGGCCCAGTCTTGACGTTTCAGCTTGTGTGTCTTGTTCAGTGGTGGTCGTCTTTCAGCCTTTCTTACCTTGGCCATGTCTCTGAGTATTGCACACCTTGTGCTTTTGGGCACTCCAGTGATGTTGCAGCTCTGAAATATGGCCAAACTGGTGGCAAGTGGCATCGTGGCAGCTGCACGCTTGACTTTTCTCAGTTCATGGGCAGTTATTTTGCGCCTTGGTTTTTCCACACGCTTCTTGCGACCCTGTTGACTATTTTGAATGAAACGCTTGATTGTTCGATGATCACGCTTCAGAAGCTTTGCAATTTTAAGAGTGCTGCATCCCTCTGCAAGATATCTCACTATTTTTGACTTTTCTGAGCCTGTCAAGTCCTTCTTTTGACCCATTTTGCCAAAGGAAAGGAAGTTGCCTAATAATTATGCACACCTGATATAGGGTGTTGATGTCATTAGACCACACCCCTTCTCATTACAGAGATGCACATCACCTAATATGCTTAATTGGTAGTAGGCTTTCGAGCCGATACAGCTTGGAGTAAGACAACATGCATTAAGAGGATGATGTGGTCAAAATACTCATTTGCCTAATAATTCTGCACTCCCTGTATATTGCCCACAGTGGTACAATGAATCACTCAGACCTGGGGCACTATTATACTTGAGCCGTTCAAAGTCCTCTGCTCATTTACTGTCCTCAAAGCCGATTAGTCCGCTAGAGACATAGCAGCTCCCCGGTAACCGACACAAGGCTACTACGCAACCTCCAACAACACTCCAGCCACTGCAACACTAGGCTCTTGCCCTGACGCTTTTCACATTAATCAGCATCAGGCAAATACTTTAGTTTTAAAATGCCAACCTTAGGCAACTTTACCTGCACATTGTAGGATGGCTCTGTGCTACCATACTCTGCCTCAGTGTGGGCTAGGGTCTACAAAGCATCGATACCTGTGGAGTGTTTGAACATAGTATGCCATTTATGTAAGCTACTCTGTCCTTGTCTGCTCCTTACCTACTGGTGTATGATTTAGCACTGCACGGCCTTTATTAGTTCTGATTCTTGGAATAATCGTTAAAGTAGAACAAAAACGCACCTCTGTCACCTCATGCATATCTGATAAAACACTGCTACAAATTGTTCACTAATACCTATCTAGGAATTGTTCTGCAATTAATCTTGTTTGTTTACTTTGACCTATCTGCCTCTGCGTAGGCGACCATGTGCCTCTCATATCAACCTGCAAAATGTTTGCTTTTACTCTGCTATCAAAATAAAAAAAATAAAAAACATTTAACACAAATGTACCTGTTAAGAGATTTACTGTGGTCAAAGTTCAAGCGTAGTGGCTCCATGAACGATCACTGTGCCTACAGACAAAATGCATGCACAAAACAAACAAAAATGGAAAAGGCCCAAGATTTCAGTGACAGTCCTGGTTTAAGAGCTCTTCTGGGAAGCTCCCACCCTACCTGAGCAGAATGCTTTCCCTGGCTGTTCCCACTTCCTATAATCTCCGATCCAGTACCAGCACTTTATTTAGTCTACCTCAATACAAAAAGAAAGCGGCTCGATCCTCCTTTTCCTACAGAGCACCGCAATTATGGAACGACCCCACACAAACCTTCAAATCTTCCCCAAGCCTAAAATCCTTTAAGAGATCCTTCTCTACATATCTCAAAACAGAATGCACCTTCATGGTTGATTATATATTTCTTACCGTTCTTTGTTAAAGTTTGTATATATTGTGTATTAATATTGTTTTTGTATTTTATTGTACCCTATTGTATCAATGCAATGTTTTGTGGACCCAGGACATACTTGAAAACAAGAGAAATCTCAATGTATCTTTCCTGGTAAAATATTTTATAAATAAATCAATAAAATCAAACTATCTGACCGATGATCAATCAGGCGTTTGTCCAAATCACTCAACTTCGAATGTTTGCAATGACATCCAAATTGGTATGGAACAAGGAGACTTAACTGGAGCTATTTTCCTTGATTTTGCCAAAGCCTTTGACACAGTAGACCATGGCATTTTTTTGCAAAAACTTAAAAACTCAGGCATTGGTGATCGTCCATTAACCTGGTTTCGATCATATGTTTCACACTAATTTCTGATAGTGCCTCCCTTCCTCTTCCAGTCACATGTTTTGTTCCCCAAGGCTCCATACTCCACTACTATTCACATTATTTATAAATGATCTGTCTAACGCCTGCAAGTCGTTAACTGTACACATGTATGCAGATGACACAGTAATTGAAGATTAAATAAACATATATTGAAAAATAAACAGCGTTTGGATCTAATTAAGGAAGCTACAGATCTTTTTTTTACAGAAAATGTCTCTCCTGACATACCATTGCCAATGATATGGTGTGCCTTTAAATGTACTATTAGAGGTCACCTAATCAAGCTGGGCAGTCAAGAAAAATGACAAAATAATATGAATATATCTGAATTGTATATAAACTTAGACTGTTTGGAGAAGGAAAACAGGAGTAGTCCCTCAAAGGAAAAGAGCGACAGATTGATGGCCATCAGGAACCAGCTTAGTAATATTTTTATTCAGAAAGCAAACTATACTCTTGAAAACCTTATGAGAACAGAGGCGGCTCTCTAATTAGGCGATTTAGGCGGCCGCCTAAGACCTCGCGCTGGCTGGGGCCTCGCGGCCGCCTAAATCGCCCAAGGGCAGACTGACATGTCGGGTCCTCGGTCTATGACCGAGGATCCGACATCAGGGGGAACCCGGCGGCTTGCCCTTTATGCCGCCGGGTGCGAGGCCCCCTCAGTCCGCCCGGAGAGCCAGCCTTCAGTCTGCAGCTCCTCCGGGTGTGAGCTGCAGACTGAAGTGCCTCACGATCCCCAGCCAATCAGAGCGTTGCCGCGGGTTACCACGGCAACGCTCTGACTCCTGGAGATCGCGAGACTCCTATCACGTGGTCTGCAGCTCACACCCGGCGGAGCTGCAGACCGGATAGGAGGCCCACCGGACCACCAGGGAGCCAGGACACTGGACCACCAGGGACACCTGCAAAGGTAATTCCCCCTGTCACCCCCTAAGTCCCCTGTCACCCCTCAGCGTCCCCTGTCACCCCCTAAGTCCCCTGTCACCCCTCAGCGCCCCCTGTCACCCCTAAGTCCCGTCACCCCCTAAGTCCCCCTGTCACCCCTCAGCGTCCCCTGTCACCCCCTAAGCCCCCTGTCACCCCTCAGCGTCCCCTGTCACCCCTAAGTTCCCTGTCACCCCTCAAAGTCCCCTGTCACCCCTAAGTCCCCTGTCACCCCCTCAACCCCCTGTCACCCCCTCAACCCCCTGTCACCCCTCAAAAAGTCCCCTGTCACCCCTCAAAGTCCCCTGTCACCCCCTAAGTCCCCTGTCACCCACTAAGTCCCCTGTCACCCCCTAAGTTCCCTGTCACCCCTAAGCCCACTGTCACCCCTCAAAGTCCCCTGTCACCCCTAAGTCCCCTCTCACCAAGTCCCCTGTCACCCTCTACCTAAGTCTCCTGTCACCCCCTAAGTCCCCTGTCACCCCCTAAACCCACTGTCACCCCTCAAAGTCCCCTGTCACCCCTAAGTCCCCTCTCACCAAGTCCCCTGTCACCCTCTACCTAAGTCTCCTGTCACCCCCTAAGTCCCCTGTCACCCCCTAAACCCACCTAAGTCCCCTGTCACCCCTAACTAAGTCCCTTGTCACCCTCTACCTAAGCCCCCTGTCACCCCCTCACCAAGTCCCATCACCCCCTCACCAAGTCCCGTCACCCCCTAACTAAGCCCCCTGTCACCCCTCACCGAGTCCCCTGTCACCCCCTAACTAAGCCCCCTGTCACCCCTCACCAAGTCCCCTGTCACCCCTAAGTCCCCTGTCACTTCTAAGTCCCCTGTCACCCCATCACTTAGTCCCCTGTCACCCCCTACCTAAGCCCCCTGTCACCCCTAACTAAGTCCCCTGTCACCCCTCACCAAGTCCCCTGTCACTCCTAAGTCCCCTGTCACCCATCACTAAGTCCCCTGTCACCCCCTACCTAAGCCCCCTGTCACCCCTCACCAAGCCCCCTGTCACCCCTCACTAAGTCCCCTGTCACCCCCTACCTAAGCCCCCTGTCACCCCTCACTAAGCCCCCTGTCACCATCACTAACTTCCCTGTCACCCCCCACCAAGCCCCTGTCCGCCCCCTGCATGCTGGAGCCTGTGGGTAGCACATGGTGGAGGTGTTGGAGCGGATTTTGCATCGAGTTTTGGAGCCATTCTGGAAATTGTTTGCAGTTGTTTTGGGAATTTTTGGTGCATTTCTCAAGCTGTGGAAAGGCGGGGAGCTGTGCTTCGTCGTTTGCATGCCTTTTATTGTGTGTTCTGCATTGTGGGTTGGTTTCCATGCCAGCTCATTTTGACTTTTTTCTGACCTCCAGAACAAATTAATTGGTTTTCAATTCATTCCTATGGGAAACCACGTTTCGGTTTACAAATTTTTCGCAATCAGAAATGTCCCGTAGAACGCATTAAATTCGTAAACCGAGGTCCCACTGTATATATATATATATATATATATATATTAGTCAGCCAGTCCACACCAGCCAGTTGATTCAATGCTTTCCTATGGGGAGGTCTAATGAGCGTGCATTAGACCCTGTGTGTCGCGGGACAGAGGAAGGGCTGAGCAATGATCCAGCGCCGATCGACATCAGCGCTAGGAAAAGGTTAGTAGATAAAGGGTTTTTATTTACAGAGGGGGGCACAAGGGAGGGGGGAGGCAGAGAAATACAGCTTTGCATTCCTGGCACTACAGTATCCCTTTAAGTTTCCATACTTAACCAAGAGCATGTGAAGAGTAGGAAAATTAATGGGCCTATTTCAATAGGCAGGGGCCTCTAGCTTCAACTCCATCAGCCTCTATGTTAATCTGCCTTGCTCCTATCCAGTTTTCAGGGGAGACTCATGCCAGCAAGGGCTACTCTGAATAAAAAGCATGGCCACTAATCAATTTCAGTAGAAATAAAAAAAAACTCTGCTGCCATCTACTGGCTAAACATTGCATTACAGCTACTTGATTTGCATCTTACATGTCTCTACTTTCTCGTAGTATATTTATAGAACATTAAATCCTATTTGCAGGGAGTGTACAATTACGGTGTCCCTGTGAGTTTGGATGACAGAATATCCGTGGACCTGGTGGTTCTAAATGGGTGACAAATTCATCATACTAATAGTACAAGCTGTGAGAACCACTGCAGCCTGAATGCATGTTTTTACATTGCCTCTCACTGGAGAAGTCCAGCGCATCAAAACAGGGAGAGCACCGATGTCAATGCAGGGAGAGCACCTCTGTCAATGCAGGGAGAGCACCGCTGTCAATGCAGGGAGCGCACCGCTGTCAATGCAGGGAAAACCCCGCTGTCAATGCAGGGAGAGCACCGCTGTCAATGCAGGGAACGCACCGCTGTCAATGCAGGGAGAGCACCGCTGTCAATGCAGGGAAAACCCCGCTGTCAATGCAGGGAGAGCACCGCTGACAATGCAGGGAGAGCACCGCTGCCAATGCAGAGAAAGCACCGCTGTCAATGCAGGGAGCGCACCGCTGTCAATGCAGGGAGCGCACAGCTGTCAATGCAGGGAGAGCACCACTGTCAATGCAGGGAGCGCACCGCTGTCAATGCAGGGAGCGCACCGCTGCCAATGCAGAGAAAGCACCGCTGTCAATGCAGGGAGCGCACAGCGGTCAATGCAGGGAGAGCACCGCTGTCAATGCAGGGAGCGCATCGCTGTCAATGAAGGGAGAGCACCGCTGTCAGTGCAGGGAGAGCACCGCTGTCAGTGCAGGGAGCGCACCGCTGTCAATGCAGGGAGCGCACCGCTGTCAATGCAGGGAGCGCACCGCTGTCAATGCCCGTTTCTCACTTGAGGTTCTGTTATTCAGGTTGGAGAATTGGAAAAGGAGAAGGATTTGCTGACTTGGAGCACGCCATGATGATGGCGATGGAAGCGGTTACAGAAGACACTGTTGTGGTCACTATAGTTCACGATTGTCAAGTAAGTTTCAACTTCCTCCTCCTGTTATTACAGTTACTATGTTATTACATAATAGCAGTCTCTGGAAGTAGGATAAAATAGCATGCAGATTGTCAGCTCTTGGGGCTTTTGTTTGTATGAATGTTGTCTGACCTCCGCCTGCCCCCATATGCCTTATTTCTCCATGGAGAGTTTTCTACTAAAGTAGCATAGTAATGTAGTAATTTGTGTTCATAAAATGCAACCTCCCATCCCTGAATATTCATTAATTAAATAAGCATATGTTAATTAATGGGAAATATTTAATTTTCTAAAGGACCAGTTTATATATGGGGCATTTTGAATAGTCAAACATAATTTAGCAGTGCCCAAATTAAATAAAACTCTTAATTAGCTACAATTCAACATAACAAAAATTGGAATCACTGAGTTCCTGAGGTGGTCTTTAATTAACACTGAACAATCCCTACTGTAAAGATCATTTTGGCTCATTTGCCAAGTTACCAGAGTGCAAATAAAAAATTAAAATGTGACGCCTTCAGGGGAGCTCTTGAAGCCTATATCTGCCAAAATGAGAGTAGGAGAAGCACAGATACAGCACAAACCCTTCCACGCCACTGCTGGTGAGGGTTATCCCAGGACCATACTCTAGAGTCTTCCAAATTAGTGCTTGTACTGCTGAGAGAGACCCTAGCAAAGTCTGAACGACATTTTATCTAGTGTACAGGCCTTACTAAGATGGCAGATGCCACATGCTCCTCCACAACTAGTGGCTTGTCTTATACTGCACTGGCTCGGCTAGACGAACTGTTTGCAGATATCTGCGGAAACATAAGTGGGCAACAGCAAATGACCAAGAAAGATCACAGTCTACCCTTTAGTCAATCGCAAAATGTCCCACCAACATCGGATGGTCTTCTTTAGGCAGATGCCAGGGCTCTGGGGTCTACTCGCCATAAGAGAATTTGGAATAATCACCAGTCGCGGTTATGGTGTTGGATCCCCAGGAGTCATGGTGACCATTGCCACAAACTCTGGCTGAGAGCCCTCATGATGGGGACTCCTTGTGCATGGCCCACACATTTTCAGGTTCTACAAATAACACCGTCAAGTTACAGCTTCACTCCAAACTAATGATCAGGGAGCCAAAGGTATCCAGATTGGTGGGCATCGCATACAGGCTCTCGTTGGTGCCCGAGACTCCTTATTATTTCTTTTTATCAATCGTGCATTCTGCTTCTTAAGTGTAGCTTCTTATGCACTATTAATGTCGCTTATCCTAAAGGCTGCATGTTTATTTTAGATTGTGTTACGTACCGTCGTCTAACTTTGCAACTTCTGCAAATACCTATACCAGACCACTATACAAGGTTCTGTTGCACTACCTATGTTTTCTCCACTTATTTAAAAATGTGTACTCACTCAAAGTGTACTCAAACTGTTAATCTGTAAACGTATATATTATACCTCTGCGTAGGTTCCCTAATGTGTTACCAACTCATGTCTATTATCTCTGAAGTATCCCTACAAAATGAACCTTTACAAAAGCTAATAAACCATGATTAAAAGTTGTGATCCTCACCAACCCTGAACTAACCGGGAGTGAGCCCAACCCAGTTATTTTAAAGCAAGGAACGGAACTTAACAGAATGCTACCGTCCCACTTGATTCAAATGATTAACCTTCACCCAGAGGCCCCTGCACATCCACTTAATCCCTCTGCTTTGTACATGGCATGATATAACTAATGATTTAAGTTTACAGTGAAAAGTTAAGGAAACCTATATTTCTGAAAATGCTATTCAGTTTTTGAAAATATGAGAATTTCTAAGCTTTCAACTCAACTGAAACTTTTTTTCCCAGTTACCAAGTAGTTTTGGATGGAATATACAAATTCAGAAATGAATCTCTGTGTGATCAAAGCACTTTCAGTCTGTCAGATTATTTCCCCATTTTGCAATTTGGATGCACAGTCTTAGCTAACTATGAAATAAAACATGTATAGGTCTATGTGAAATGCCTGGTTTATTAAGTCACAATTTTGCTTGTTCCTCACCGAGATCGTTGGAGTTACTTATTACATTATCAAATTAGACATGTCTGCCTTATTGTGTTGAAGGTGCTTGATTTTCCCGAGGATCTCCTGGGAGAGCACAACCTCACTGTGGATTATATATTGACACCAACACGAATTATTAAAACAGACTGCAAGCGTCCAAAGCCAGAAGGAATCATATGGTCTAAGGTGAGATTACTATAGAAGTACCTCATTCGTTCCTTATTCCATGCGGCTTTATCATTCTATTTTTTCTAACTCCAAATACGCTATGGTCACATCTATTTTTGCTCGGTTCTCCCATTCAGAATTAAATCACGAAAAATCAAAGTTTAGTGAAACACCCTGTTAGAGAAAGCTAATAGAATTAAATACCCCAGCAGGCCTTTTTGTAGCTTCTAAAGATAGGACTTGGCCGCTCCTAACGTTCTAGATAACATCAGGTTATAGAGTGCATTACCTGCTGGGCCATTCGCTTCCTTTCCTGCCGCACAGACTTGAACAATTTTGGTTAATATTATTATTGATATTTATATAGCGCCAGCTTATTCCACAGCTCTTTACATTAAAAGGGGTAATTTAACAAATGAGACAATAACGAAATGTTACAGGAATAATAGGTAGACAAGGATCCTGCTTGTAACGGGACCAGGGTAACACGTCTGGTTATCCCCTCGTTATTAATAAGTGCCCCGACCCATTTCCCCCAGTAACTGGATGACACACAGTTCCAGGGTACAACAAAAATCATTATTTGCCACACTCAGCTTTATATGTTTCCCCGTGCAAGGGGTGGGCACTAGACAAAGACAATGTCCCCTCACAGGGACTTCCTGGCAGGAATGGGACTCAAGTCCCTTTGTCCCCAGTTCCCGCCACCCAAATACAGGATTTCCCATTTCCCGTGGCAGGGAGTTTCCTTCCCAGGGTCCTCTGTACCTGGGAGTCCCAGCGCGGGAAAGATTCCCACTTCCTGGTCTCCCAGACACAGAAAGCCCACCAAAACCGCCATTGTCCCCACCAATCTCATGGACTCCCAGAATGGTCACCAGCATGAACAGCCTCAGTTTGCAGGGTCCCTGGGTAAAACTAAGCAAAGGAAATGTATTCTTTCGGGACACGAATGCCCCCCTGGCCAGTGCTCATCTATGCGAATGGCAGCCACCCAGGGAAGCACTCATTAATTACTTCCCTTGCAGTTTCACACTTATGTTGCACGTTGCCAACGTTCTAATTGATTGGTATGAACACCCCAAGGATGCTGGGGAGGTCCTAGTTCAGGAACAGAATAAGGTGGGAAACAATTTGCGAATGCTCCACCTGGACGGCGTTCATCTAACGACCAAACTGCCACCCAGGGTCGGCACGCGTCAAGGCTTCCCTTGTGGTTTGTGGTTTTCACACCTCGTTAGCAAGGTGCGAACATTCTAAGTAAACATTCGAAATGGGGTATTGGGGTGGTCCCCGTTCCTGAGATGAACGGGCTGCGTTCGAGTATGGTCTCCCGAACGGGGAGCAGGTAAAATACACAAATAATCACGAATGACGGGGAAACATAAGCAACTATATAATTACACTTGCTGGTTTAGCGTGATCCCGCCACTCTGTTCAAATGAGCTTACAGTCTAAAGGAGGTGGGGCATAACAAAGGGGCAGACGTGGGGGATGTTTCGAAGGTGGAATCGACAGGTTTTAGAAACACATTGGACATGAAGTGCAAAGGTGAGGCCAGGATCAAAAATGACACCTAGACAGCGAGCTTGCAAGGATGGGGTGAGGCAGGCACCATCAACCTGCACAGAGAGTGAAAGAGGAGGATCAGTGTTATGAGGAGGAAAAATAAGAAACTCAGTTTTAGAGAGATTGAGCTTAAGAAAGTGAGAGGACATCCATTTAGAGATGGAAGAAAGGCAATTAGTGACACGTTGTAGGACAGCAGGGGAGAGATCAGGGGAGGAGAGATATATCTTGGTGTCATCAGCATACAAGTGGAAGTCCAAACGAATTGATGAGTTTGCCAACAGAGGCAGTATAGAGAGAGAACAAAAGGGGACCAAGAACTAAACCTTGAGGGACTCTGACTGAGACAGGACGAGGGGAGGAGAGGTAATTGGAAAAGGAGACACTGAATGAACATTGGGAGAGATAGGAGGAGAACCATGAGAGAGCTTTGTCACAGAGACCAAGAGATTGAAAAGTTTGGAGAAGGAGGCCATGATCAACAGTGTCAAAGGCAGCAGAGAGGTCAAGAAGAATTAGTATGGAGTAGTGGCCTTTGGATTTAACCGCAATTAGATCATTTGTAACTTTAATCAGAGCAGTCTGTGAGGAGTGGAGGGGTGGAATCCAGACTGAAGAGGGTCGGGAGAAGGTTGGAATTGAGGAAGCAAATCAGATGGGTAAAAACAAGTTTTTCCAATTGCTGCTATGAGCCAGGGGGATCCATTCGTGCATTGATTCAGTTTTTATGACTTAACTAAATAGACCGACCGCTCAGCCTGAAATCATGGAACTGTTCTGGGCAGGAGCCTCGTGTGCGGTCGGTCAACTGGGACTTCCATGAAAATTGAAAACCCCTGAACCGATCTGGGTGATTTTTGGATATGTTGGTCACCCAGATCGGGGCTATCGGTGGATGTGACATTTGTGGGGGTCCTGTAAATTTTGGGGTGTTTTTCAGATATTGTAAAAACTGTGTTCCATCTGCCCAGAGATAATTAAGTTACCCCTTTATCTGACCCAATTATCTCCAGGCAGAGAGGAGGGGATTTACTGTTTGTACTGGGAGTGTCACTGTTCTGCTCTGTATGTTTATTGGTTATCCTAAGTGGTGTCCCTGTTTTCTACAAGGTCCAGGGGGGTGTTCCCCTGGCCTGAAAACTTGCATAAAAGCCAGTGTGGCACAATAAAATTTCCTTCCTGTTACACCCTTCATCATGTTCCGGCTGATGTTTGGGTACCTGGTTACTGCTTTGAGGAAATTCAGCTTAAGCGCTTCATCTACTCTAGATTAATAGACGAACGGAGAACCGAACGGCGAGCTATAATCACTCTTGCTCTCTGCCGTTTGGTTAAAAACTGACCAACCCCTAGCTACCACTTCAGGGTTTGTTACAATGTGCATTAAGGACGGCACAAGACAAGGGGCAAGAGATCTGATGAGGTGAGACGGGATGGGATCAAGCGGACAAGTGGTGGGATGAGAGGAAAGGAGAAGTGAGTGAGCACATTTGTCAATGTAGACATGTTTGCGCATGCTGCTGGTGGTCTGGTTTTTATGTGTGTCCTAAATTAATGTTTTTCTAAACATCGATGGTTAAGAGATTATAGCACCCTATATAATAAAAATATGAAAAAATTATATGGCATTTTAAACAGCACAAATAAAGGCTGCAATAATATAATTGGGTTAATTCAATAATAAATGCTGTGTAGCCATTCTTAATATTGAGTGAAGGAGGGAAAGGCAGGGCCAGCGGTGAGAGAGACTGTGATGCAATTAGCATCACGGACAGTGTGCTTCCCGCGAAGGGGGCGCGTCACACTGGCACACACAGCCATCAGGTTAACAGGCTGCCCCACGCTGAGCATAGCTGTGGTGCTCATGCATGGGCATTAAATAACCTGAATTGAATGGGCTACCAGGAACAGTACCAGGCTGACAAACAATAAGGATGATGAATCATAAGTATTTAGTTAAGTTTGAGTGGGCTGTGTTTGTATTTATTTATTCTAATTGTCAGCATTATAGCTATGATTCCTGCTGGCAGTTAATTAAATATAGTAAGATAGTACATATGAACTCTACAGGTTGCACGCCTCTCTAGTAGGACTGCAAGGAAATGTGATGGTAAAAGCAAGTGTGACTGACGTTTTCCTATCATTATAGTGTGTATTGGTTCAGAAAAGTTGAGAAACTCTGTTTTAGATAATGCTTTAAAACCTAAATAAATGGGTACAAATAAATACACTTAGTGTGCATTCAGTTTTTTGTGTTCTCACATCTACCTTTAGCTTCTCAAATTCTTCCCCAATTAGCCATTAGTTTGAGTACTGAAAATCCAAAATAAGGTAGTGGGGGAAAAATTCCATTAAATAAGATGCAAGCCATAGCTATATCTTCACTCCAAGTCGATGGTAGTGATAGTGAAGAATATGTCTTTTTAAAAAAAGAGCTACTCAGTTCAATGTTTCACTTGTATCCTGCCAAGGTCTGTGTTTTGTATTGCTTTAACTCAAATAATACACATAAATGCAGAGGAACATTGTCAGTACCTGAGGTGTATAATACATGCCTACCAAGTGTCCCTATTTAAGAGGGACAGTCCATATACATAATACTCCCAGTAACGTGTCTGAGTGTATAACAGAGCTCCACAGCAATAATACTCCCAGTAATGTGTCTGAGTGTATAACAGAGCTCCACAGCAATAATACTCCCAGTAATGTGTCTGAGTGTATAACAGAGCTCCACAGCAATAATACTCCCAGTAATGTGTCTGTATAACAGAGCTCCACAGCAATAATACTCCCAGTAATGTGTCTGAGTGTATAACAGAGCTCCACAGCAATAATACTCCCAGTAATGTGTCTGAGTGTATAACAGAGCTCCACAGCAATAATACTCCCAGTAATGTGTCTGAGTGTATAACAGAGCTCCACAGCAATAATACTCCCAGTAACGTGTCTGAGTGTATAACAGAGCTCCACAGCAATAATACTCCCAGTAATGTGTCTGAGTGTATAACAGAGCTCCACAGCAATAATACTCCCAGTAATGTGTCTGAGTGTATAACAGAGCTCCACAGCAATAATACTCCCAGTAATGTGTCTGAGTGTATAACAGAGCTCCACAGCAATAATACTCCCAGTAATGTGTCTGAGTGTATACCAGAGCTCCACAGCAATAATACTCCCAGTAATGTGTCTGAGTGTATAACAGAGCTCCACAGCAATAATACTCCCAGTAATGTGTCTGAGTGTATAACAGAGCTCCACAGCAATAATACTCCCAGTAATGTGTCTGAGTGTATAATAGAGCCCCACAGCAATAATACTCCCAGTAATGAGTCTGAGTGTATAACAGAGCTCCACAGCAATAATACTCCCAGTAATGTGTCTGAGTGTATAACAGAGCTCCACAACAATAATACTCCCAGTAATGTGTCTGAGTGTATAACAGAGCCCACAGCAATAATACTCCCAGTAATGTGTCTGAGTGTATAACAGAGCTCCACAGCAATAATACTTCCAGTAACGTGTCTGAGTGTATAACAGAGCTCCACAGCAGTAATACCCCCAGTAATGTGTCCGAGTGTATAACAGAGCTCCACAGCAGTAATACCCCCAGTAATGTGTCCGAGTGTATAACAGAGCTCCACAGCAATAATACTCCCAGTAATGTGTCTGAGTGTATAACAGAGCTCCACAGCAATGATACTCCCAGTAATGTGTCTGAGTGTTTAACAGATCCCCACAGCAATAATACTCCCAGTAATGTGTCTGCGTGTATAACAGAGCTCCACAGCAATAACACCCCCAGTAATGTGTCTGAGTGTATAACAGAGCTCCACAGAAATAATACTTCCAGTAATGTGTCTGAGTGTATAACAGAGCTCCACAGCAATAATACTCCCAATAATGTCTGAGTGTATAACAGAGCTCCACAGCAATAATACTCACAGCAATGTGTCTGAGTGTATAACAGAGCTCCACAGCAATAACACTCCCAGTAATGTGTCTGAGTGTGTAACAGAGCCCCACAGCAATAATACTCCCAGTAATGTGTCTGAGTGTATAACAGAGCTCCACGGCAATAATACTCCCAGTAATGTGTCTGCGTGTATAACAGAGCTCCACAGCAATAATACTCCAGTAATGTGTCTGAGTGTATAACAGAGCTCCACAGCAATAATACTCCCAGTAATGTGTCTGAGTGTATAACAGAGCTCCACAGCAATAATACTCCCAGTAATGTGTGTGTGAGTGTATAACAGAGCTCCACGGCAATAATACTCCCAGTAATGTGTCTGAATGTATAACAGAGCTCCACAGCAATAATACTCCCAGTAATGTGTGTGTGTGTGTATAACAGAGCTCCACAGCAATAATACTCCCAGTAATGTGTCTGAGTGTTTAACAGAGCTCCACAGCAATAATACTCCCAGTAATGTGTCTGAGTGTATAATAGAGCTCCACAGCAATAATACTCCCAGTAATGTGTCTGAGTGTATAACAGAGCCCCACAGCAATAATACTCCCAGTAATGTGTCTGAGTGTATACCAGAGCTCCACAGCAATAATACTCCCAGTAATGTGTCTGAGTGTATAACAGAGCTCCACAGCAATAATACTCCCAGTAATGTGTCTGAGAGTACAACAGAGCTCCACAGCAATAATACTCCCAGTAATGTGTCTGAGTGTATAACAGAGCTCCACAGTAATAATACTCCCAGTAATGTGTCTGAGTGTATAACAGAGCCTCAAAGCAATAATACTCCCAGTAATGTGCCTGAGTGTATAACAGAGCTCCACAGCAATAATACTCCCAGTAATGTGTCTGAGTGTATAACAGAGCTCCAAAGCAATAATACTCCCAGTAATGTGTCTGCGTTTATAACAGAGCTCCACAGCAATAATACTCCCAATAATGTCTGAGTGTATAACAGAGCTCCACAGCAATAATACTCCCAATAATGTCTGAGTGTGTAACAGAGCTCCACAGCAATAATACTCACAGCAATGTGTCTTTAAACGACAATAAATGTGTTTAGAGATCAGTCTGTGTAAGTAAGATACATTGTTCTTGTTCTAAATTACATTTTAGCTGCATAAATGTTCTTAGTAAGTTATCTATTCAAATTGGGCAAAATAGTTCTTATCTGCCGTCACATTCTATGTTTCTATCTAAAAAAATATAAAACATCTCAGAATACCCGCACTCACAAACCTAACATTAAAGTGTCCCCATTTGTCCATTTCAAGTGTTGGGAGGTATAATAATGAATGGCAGACAAAGCCAGATTAGAAATAAAATAACTTGACTGACACAACCGGCACATCTAGCTAGCGTACGGCACACGGGTCTCATTAACCATGATAGCTTAACCGCTCAAATACTAGACATCACAAACCAGTTAATCATCACCCTGTTTATAATATAACTCTGTGCATCGTTATATCATGTTCATGTTTAATGTGCTATGCCTATCTTTGTTCACTCTTGAATCTCTTATCGAAAAAAACAAAGTGCAACGCATCTCGTACCTGTCACCAAAATGTTATCAATTGCTTACGACTGTAATATCATTTGGAAATTGTGACATATGCAACTAACAATGCACTTTCAAAAATAAAGAATTTAAAATAAATAAATAAATAAAATAACTTGCACAGAACTAAGCCCGTTTTCCAAACATACAATCAGTCTGTGGCGGAACACGCCTCGCCACTGGGCATTGGAGAAGACTGATTGCCAGCCTCCTGCCCTGTGACTATGGCCCCATGTTGAAAGGATGGATTTTCCCCTGCAAAGACCCAAAAGCTGGGTCTTTCGGTACTTTCCCTATGTGAGCAGTGTTACCCCAGATAGCTATGCCATGGAGCCCATTCGTATAATGAAAGACTATGGGAAAGACTTTGGCTCCATGGCAGTTGAACTGTATATGTGTGCTCTGAGCGTCATTCAGTAATAATGTGCGCTCAGATCTGAGCTATCAGGGCATATGTTAAATGTACCTGTTTTGTGCAATGGCTGCACAGTTATATGTTTTTATGTGTTTTATTGTCTTTTGCTGCCATGTGGCTAATGGAGTTTTGCCTCTGTCCTGGAGATAATTGGATTACTTCCCCAATTATCTCCAGGATAGAAGACTCTGTGGAACTGGTATTGGGCAGAAAAGCCATGCTTCATTTGGTCAAATAGGACTTTTCCTTAACTTTTGAACCACTGGACCAATATGTATGATTTTGACATATGTTTGTATTTGTGTATGCTGATTCTGAAAATGTAAATGTGATGCATACTTTTCAAGTTATGAATAATGTGGAAAAAACTGTATTTCTCTGTCTGTGATAATTAGATTAACCATTGTGTTCAGTAATCATATCACAGCCAGAGGGGAGGATTTTGTGTGGGAGTGTCTTTCTGTAATATACGTGTGTTATTGGTTGTTATGTAAAACCCTGTGGGCAGTACTAAGTTTGTGGATTGGGAATAAAAGAGGCTGTATGTGCCAGTCCAGTCAGATTCTGCTTAACCCTCAAACGAAGTGTCGTCTCGGTATTGGGGGAATTGGATTGTATGCTGACTGCCAGGAGTGTAAACCTTTCGTATGGTTTTTCCTGTTCAGCTGTTTCCAGTATTCGTGAGTTTCCTGTTCGGGAGTTGGGGAATTCGTGTAGTTTGCAGTTCGGGATATTGGTGATTGCAGTAGCTGTCTGTGCATCTGAAAGGGGAATATTGCCTAAACGTTTTTTAACCTCTTGTGGGCAAAACGGTCCGTTACACAGTCCTTGACAGATTATCATGTTTGATATAGCAATCTTCCTCTGGTTTTAGCAGAGTTGTGGTAAAATAGTCATGGTTTCAAAAAGAGCTTGGTGGCACCTTCCAGGTTGTGACTTCACCAGTCTTCATTCAGAGTCCAGTGTTAGAGAATAAATGTACAAAGTTCAGTATTTTATAAACATGGGCTTTCACGATCTTTAACCTGATTCATCTAGAACGGTTTCCACACCTGCTGCTGTCTTTCTCAAGTAAAGGTTAAAATTGTGTAATTCCTATAGAGGCTACTATATTTATGTCAAGTCGATGGTTTCAATTTCACGCCTCTGACTTGGTTTGGGGTTTAAACCATGGATCTGATGACTTTCCTGGGTAAATCAATCTAAGTTTCCACCTATGATTATTTTAGAAAAATGCCTTTCCATTGATATGTATATATTGGATTGCTAACTGCACAGTGGTTAAACTCTTGTTTTATCGTGCAGATCACCTGGGAAATGATGAAGAAAATTCCAATCTTAAAGAAACTTCACGCCATTGAAAAAGAGGCCGGTAAAAACGTCTTCATAAAGAAAGATCATAATCACAAACTACACACCAGATTGGAAGCCTGTGACTTGGGCGACGTGCATACATTATATATAGGGAATATTCCCCCAACTACAACAATCAACGAGTTTAAGGATATCTTACAGGAGAAAGGGACTCCACCTTTACGACTCTGGTGGCAGATAGATCATCAGAGAGCATTCTTGATTACATGGATGTGGCCCAGGCGAGGCAGGCATTGTCTAGCTTGCAAGGATTAACAATCCGTGGTAATTCTCTATGGGTGGATATGGCTAGACCTAGGCAGAATAAACTTCACGCCAATGAAAAAGAGGCAGTCAAAAACGTCTTCGTGAAGAAACATCATGATCAGGAATTAAACAACAGATTGAAAGCCTGTGACTTGGGCGACGTGCCTACATTATATATAGGGAATATTCCCCCAACGACAACAATCAACGAGTTTAAGGATATCTTACAGGATAAAGGGGCTCCACCTTTACGACTCAAGTGGCTCAGAGATCGTCGGATAGCATTCCTTGATTACATGGATATGGCCCAGACGAGGCAGGCATTGTCTAGCTTGCAAGGGTTAACAATCCATGGTAATTCTCTATGGGTGGATATGGCCAGAGCTAAGCAGAATAAAGTGTCAAACTCCAAAACTCAGTAATATTAAAAAATATATATATATCAGGAACACACATACACATATGGTGGGAATGCGAGCTAATACAAACCTTCTGGCGCACTATCCACAAAATACTATCCTGATTCTCAGACAACCCGCCGCCACTAGAACCGGCAGCCATGCTACTTCATCATACAAAAATCCCAATGTCCAAATACAAAAAATCACTCACGATTCTCAACATAGCAAAACAGACTATCCCACAGTTCTGGAAGAAAAAAGAGGCCCCATCTATGCTCACATGGTTCACTCAAATGGAGGACCTGAGAGCCATAGAAGAACTCACCATGCATGCGGCTGGACCGCAACAGCAGACATATCTTGACATATGGACACACTGGATACTGACAAAACCTGAATTTCAGACACTAATACAAGGCCAACCACCTGAAACACACGACTGACAAAGAGACGGAAGACTAACCCAATCCCTCCTTCCACACCTGTACCTACCCCCCTTATTCCCGAGGCATTCGATACGCGCCCATCAGAGAGGCACAGGCCCAGGAACAAGACAAAGTGGACTGACTAAGTTAGTACAACAATGAGCCCCAGACACTTGTCAGGGAAAGGAAAACTGTAAGCCAAAATAACACCAGTAGGCTATGCTCGATAATGACCAACAAGGACACATACTAGAAGGACATGTGGGTCCCATAATCTAGACAACAAATGCTTAACTAGGCTACAACGAACATAGCGACCTGAAAGCAACAAAGTATTGCTAGGCAAAAGCAAACACACGGTAAACAATGTAATCAAACAAACGATACACCAGTTCAGGGAAGACAACTATCTGCTGACAGGGACCTGCGAGTCCGTCGCTAATGTGGGCCTGTGCGCCCGAATGACTGTTCGAAATTCTTGTTGCACGTGTTGTGCTTTGGTTATTATACTCAAGATGCCTGTAGAGACCTGCGAGTCTCAAAGGGAATCACTGTTTCACAATGCAAACCGAAATAAAAATGATATTTCCAAAAAAAAAAAAATATTTATATATATCTCAAATCTCTAATGTATCAACACATATCACCCAACATAAAATACTTTGGTATTTTGAGAGGAGTTGTAAAGTTTATATGCGAAATGTGAATTTGTGCCAATGAAGGGGTTTGAATTTTATTTTTAAATGCTTAACATCATGATGCGTTATTTTTGTTCTTATACTTGCTCTGATATCTGTGACATACACCTCTATCTTTGGTTTATGGGTATGTATGCCCAGGGGAATAAAGATAGTATTACAATACATATTACCCCTTGGTTGCACATGTAAAGATATGAATGTGGTAACGGAACAGTCGACTTCCATCAAACTTACAGACTTTGACATTTAGAAAACAGGAGTGTATAACCGCTTTATTATGGTAAAAATGATGAGTGGCAAACAGAAACACTTGTCACCAAAACTGATATTTTAAACTTTCAGTAGGGCATTCACAACCTATCTGACACTACCATGATAATTCTCAAGTAATAATTTTGTACCATGACGGGCAGTGGAGGAACTGGTTCCAGTTCCGGGATTAGTAAATTCACCACTATGAATGCATACCTTCACAAACTACTATGTACCTATTAAACTCTTACACAACAATTGGATGAGTTTGAAGATCAAACCCAAATCAATGCAGATCAATTTCTGTCCTCCACCCTGCCTCACAATATTTACACTTGAAGGTTTCTTCCACCTTTCTTGCCCTCCGCAGACTTCTGTAAAAACTCCCAGAGATGTTATCAGGTCATTTAATGATAGAAATTGTGTTATTTGGCAGAGAGAGGTAAAAAACCCATGGTCTTTGAAACAAATCAATGTATCTTTTACAAAGATTTGACTCACTGAAATGTACAATGGAGGCAATCTCTCAACCCAGTCATTAACTAGCTCAGGGATTTGTGAATCACCTACTGCTGGAAGATCCTTAGACCAATGATGGGGCGGGGGTGGGGGACGGACTAAATATCATCCTAGCAGACATCTGCTATGGATGGTGCATCTTTCCTGACCTCCTTGGGGCTGTGCTACTGGCCACATTCAGACGGGCAGGGCCGGTGCAAGGATTTTTGGCTGCACAGGCAAAAATGGATTTTGCTGCCCCCCGCTCACCCCCCTTCCCCGCAAACACTGGTTACATGGGTACTGATAGGCATGCAACACCTCCCCTGCTGCTGGAAATGCCTACAAGAAAGCTCTGGTTAGTGCCACTGACCTACGCCCAGCCACGCATCAGCTCGCTCATTGGCTTGCAGCGCTCGGCTGAAGCTCTTAACCAATGAGCGCGGTCCTAAATGGCTGGGCTTAGCTCAATAAGAGGAGTTTCTGGTGGCCACGGGGTGAGGGGGCATGGTATGGGTACAGGTTGAGGGGGCATGGGAGATACAGGGTGAGGGGCTATACAGAATCAGAGATACAATGTGAGGGGCTATACAGTATGAGAGATACAGGGCGAAGGGCTCTACAGTATGAGAGATACAGGGTGAGGGTCTATACAGTATGAGAGATTTAGGGTGAGGGGCTATACAGTATGAGAGATACAGGGCGAGGGGCTATACAGTATTAAAGATACAGGGTGAGATGCTATACAGTATGAGAGATACAGGGTGAGAGGCTATACAGTATTAAAGATACAGGGTAAGATGCTATACAGTATGAGAGATACAGGGTGAGAGGCTATACAGTATGAGAGATACAAGGCGAGGGGCTATACAGTATGAGAGATACAGGGTGAGGGGTCATTGGTGCAGCGCTGCTCATGTACACTAGCTTCTCAATGCTTCCCTATGGGAAAGCATTGGATTGGTTGAGATCATCAGGATTGATGATCTCAGTCGGGCGGCTTGCAGTGAGTACCACATTCTGCAGTCCAGTCATAATGTCCTGTTTGGTTATGGATGGAGTGGTTGCAGTATTTGTATGTAGTACAATCTGACATTCAGCTCTCTAGTGGAAGGACCATTACTGTGATGCTTGTCAAAACACTGCCTATAGCCAGCTGAGCATGATGTGAGTTATGGTTCAAAAGCCCTTGATTAAGGTGACTTAAAACTGACCCTGCTATTATCTCATTGAATTGTGACTTGTGATGGGCACAGCATAGAGGGTTTTATTTACATATGCACACTGAGGCCCTTTCCAAATGACTGCATACAGCTACAATATAAATATATCCGCTCAGAGACTACTAGACTTTATTAGGAGACCTGACTATAAGCATGTATTATGCCAAATTGGAAAAACCTCTCCATACCTCAGCTAGTTTTCTCAACTGAGCTCCAAAATTTCCAGTTTAGTTAAAGTCAGGTGTCTCCAGTTGCCATAGGAGAGGAGAGATTATGTTATATTCACTATGCACATATGCACACAACCCAACAGAGTTGATTAAACAAATAACATAATCAGACTTTTATCTTATTAGATAAATGATGTGTGTGTGTGGGGGTGCAGTGTATGTGTGTGTTAAGGGTGCAGAGTGTGTGAGAGGTGCAGTGTGTGTGTGTGTGTAAGGGGGTGCAGTGTGTTTGTGTGAGGGGTTCTGTGTGTGTTAGGGGTGCTGTGTGTGTGGGGGTGCAATGTGTTTGTGCAAGGGGTTTTGTGTGTGTGTGTGTGTGTGTGTGTGTGTGAGAAGGTGTAGTGTGTGTAAAGGATGCTGTGTTTGTGAGAGGGGTCCAGAGTGCATGTGTGTGTGGAGGTGTAGTGTGTGTGAGGGATTCTGCGCGTGTGTGGGGGGGTGTAGTGTGTGTGAGGGATGCTGTGTTTGTGAGAGGGTGCAGTGTGTGTGGGAGTGGTGCAGTGTGTTTGTGTGAGGTGTTCTGTGTGTTTGAGGGGTGTTGTGTGTGGGGGGGTGTGCAGTGTGTTTTTGTGAGGGGTTCTGTGTGTGTGAGGGGGTGAAATGTGTTTGTGTGAGGTGGTGTAGTGTGTGTCAGGGATCTATATTGTGGTGGTGGGGGGGGGGGATCAGGTAGAAAACCTACATTTTTCTTTAACTTAAAAAGAGGAAATAAATGTATGCACCCTCCCCAACCCCCCCTCCCCCACCTCCTTCTTATCTCTGGCCTGGAAGGAGAGGACATATCACTGCAATCTCTGGTGGTCCATTGGTTTCACGTGCACTTGACTTCGCTATTTTCTTCCCGCAAGCACAACTCTGTCGGAGCATGGTAACGGTCCGACCTGCATGCTCGCGGGAGGATCACAGCCTCCTGGGTCCTCCTCCTGTCCAGCAGGTTCCCGGGTTCTTGCTCCCTCCCTATCCCTATCCCTTATCTTTAATCTCCCAACCGGCCCGAAAAAGGCAGAAAGCAGGGCCGGCTCTCCATGGGCCGGTTCAAATTATTTCGCCGGGCTTATACGTTACCCACCACTGCTTTAACCCCGTAAGGACCAAACTTCTGGAATAAAAGGGAATGATGACATGTCACACATGTCAGGTGTCCTTAAGGGGTTAAAGGAAAACTGTAGTGATGATGGTGCCATGGGTGTGCTGGTACTCCAAATTTAAGTAGTCAAATAGTTTTTTTTTAACAGTTATCTGAGACTTGCTGGGTGCTGCTCCTTGCTGCCACTGCAGCATCCAGGCCAGTCGGAAGCTCTCTGTCTGAGCTAAGCTTTGCAGTGCAGTGTTTAGCTCATTGGCTCAGAATGATCAGCTGACACTCAGCCAATTAGCAGGTCCTCAATGTTGTAATTAGCTAATAGAAATTCCTAAGAAGAAACGTCCGTCTCCAGATACCTGAGAGGAGGCGGGTAGCAGCGCCCAGCACGCCCCAGGTAAGAAGTAAATCTGTCCTAAAACAGTTGGACTACTTACGTGGGGGAGTAGGGGGGAAGCCAGGGCACTCCATCATAGTGGTAGTGGTTATGGTGCTTGGAGTGTTTCTTTGAGAGACACACTCTAGAATTAGGAATATATATCTGTATTCCTAACGCTACAGTGTAAATGACCATAGTTAGTTTTAGGGCTCACCCAGCCTGCAAGTAACAAACTAAATAAAAGATTTGACTTGCCTTTTTTCCAGTGCCAAGTTTATATCAGCACTGCCATGTCATCTGATATCATCCTGGAGGCGTGCATCAAAGATGACGGTCCAATCCAATGCTCCCTCATAGAAGATCATTGGGGACTGTAAGCGTATATGCGCGGCGCTCGCTGCAATGCACCTATGAGACGGCATGCATGCAGTGATTCTCTGTGTCAGACCGTGACAGCACTGCGCATGCTTGCCTGGCATTACAGTATAAGAGTTGGAAAGTAGCAGTTCTGGCTCTTGTACCCAGAGGGCTTGGAGATATGACTTAAAGGACCACTATAGTGCCAGGAAAACATACTCGTTTTCCTGGCACTATAGTGCCCTGAGGGTGCCCCCACCCTCAGGGTCCCCCTCCCGCCCGGTTCTGGGGAGAGGAAAGGGGTTAAAACTTATCTTTTTCCAGCGCTGGGCGGGGATCTCTCCGCCTCCAATCCTCCTCTTCTCCTCCCATTCAGCTGAATGCGCACGCATTCAGCCGGTCTCATAGGAAAGCATTTACAATGCTTTCCTGTGGACGATTGCGTGCTCTCACTGTGCTTTTCACAGTGAGAATCACGCAAGCGCCTCTAGCGACTGTCAATGAGACAGCCACTAGAGGAATTGGAGGAAGGATTAACCCATTTACAAACATAGCAGTTTCTCTGAAACTGCTATGTTTATAAAAAAAAATGGGTTAATCCTAGCTGGACCAGGCACCCAGACCACTTCATTAAGCTGAAGTGGTCTGGGGTGCCTAGAGTGGTCCTTTAATTAATAATGTTATTTGTGACCACTAAGAAGGAGGAACAACTGTAGGCACTATATAGCAGCTTCATTTAGATAAAGTTGTTATAGTGAGAACAATGTTCCTATAAGTCTTTTTTCTAATCTGTATTATTACATAGATACATCGGCATGTGGCCAGTATCTAAATATTGAAATTATTTCATGAAATTCCAAAAGATTTAATAGTTGGAAACAAAGAAAACAAACAGCCAGCAGATGGCGCCTTTGTTCCTTGTATCTTTCGTGCAAGCTTCAAATTGGTCTTCTAAACTTGCTGTGATTAAATTGGCAATGTGTATATTGATCTGCCTATACCGTGTTTGGCCTGTTATATTGTAATGGCTGCTAAAATTACAAACACAAAATTGTGGCTTTAGACTTGGGTGCAGGCAATGCAGAGATGTGTTCTTGTAGTCGTAGACCACTGTTACATGCCTGTTTGTAGATACAGTATATGTGTATGTAACTCGTTACTGTACTCATAAACAGCTATAAAGACCTTTTGTTTCCTATTCATCATTTTCCATCTGTGTGCCAGTCACGGTTAGCTTAGCCTGATGTGAGTCATGTTCCCATCCTGGCTCTGAAAAGTGTTTGGACAGCAAATTTCACTATTCTTACCCAGTATAACAGTATTGTACAAGAGTACTGTTTTTGTTTTTATTATTTTATTATTTGGTCAATCAATAGACAAGTATTAGAACAGGCAGGGTTAGCACTCAAAAAGTTGTTGCCATCATTAGGGCCTCCGCCAAGGCTTCTGCCATTGTATCTGTGTTGTGATCCACTGCTTCTATGCCATAGTCTCTACTAGAGCTATAATGGTATGGTTAAATCTGGGGGCTCCCTTTATAGTGTATACATTAGTGCCACAATGTCTGACGGTGTCGTTTGCAAGGTTCCATTCTCACACCAACTACCATAACAGGGCCTTTATGGATGGCGGGCGAAGGGGAGGTGTTCAAGGTCTTCAGACAAGAGATCTGTAGACTACCTCCAATAAACAGACGTGTTATTAAATGCTTGTTTTCATAGGGGCCATATCTACCATTCATATATTTATTTTTGACTAGGGAAGTGTCCCTATAAGGTACATCTTAAAAGTTGAGGAAACTTCAGTGTCCATACATTTCTGACTTTTGTCTACAGAGTCATTGGAGTAGCTCTATTAAAAGTCTTGTTCAGCCGCCATCTTGAATTTAACGTGTATTACAGATCCACCTAAAAAATGGCAGACAGGAGGGAAGAGACAGAAGATCTCTGACTTTCTAAGTTTCTTGTGTTTTTGACCTGTAGCCTTCCAACTGGGTTAATATGAACACAAACAGAACAAGTTTGGACTTTGCTTCCCAAGACACCAGTATGTTTAG